CAAGTTGAAATCGACATCATCATCGTCGTCGTCGTCGTAGGCGATCTGGTTGTCTGCGGGCTCATCCTGATTGGTTTGGACAGGAGCCTCGTTGTGTGCTTCGTTGTAAGCTGGTGCGGGCGGGGCGGGCTCAACCACGGGGGCAGGAACGCTCGCAATTGTTGGGGGCGCCGCGGCGGCGGGTTTCGAAGGCGCCGCATCGTCGTCGTAACTAGATACCGTTGTCAGAATGCTGCTGGAAGCACCGCGATCGATGGGTATCGCGCGAGGCGTGTCAAATGACTTACAGGTCGGCGAAGAGATCGTCCTCAAAGTTCTCCGGTTCCGTCATCGTGGCGACACGGGGTGAGTCTAGTAAGCTATCCTAGGCTGACAGACAGTTCTTCTAGATACGCGATTAAAAAAAACCCTAGAGGAAATGAAGGTAAAGAACTATAAGGGGAAAGGGAAGCCGCAAAGAGATGGTACTGTCGATGGGTTGTTGTCCTGACAGGCAGGTAGCTGGGCTGGCGTGCCTCCCTCAGAATGTGCTGGGGCCCAAGGAAGAACATGTCGGCAGTGGGGCGGTCGAAGAACACACTAGCCAATCCGAGCCTCTGAATCCGTTCAACAAGGCGATGGAACAACCTCTGATGTCTGGTCACGTGCTTCGGATTCTCCGGGTTGCGGCTCGCTACATTCTCCTTGCGGCGGGGATGGCGGAACTGTATTTGCATCAAATTCAAAAAGACTCGTCTCAGAAGCTCGTGCGATCAACACAAGGTTCGACGCACCAGAATGCGGAGCACATCTTGAAAGAAACTAACTTGTTACGATTGAAGCCGTACGCCTCGCAGGTAGCTTCCGAATGGAAGAGAAGGTGACGCCCCCAGCTTAGTCAGTGCGCTAGCCACGAGGGATGTGGCTGTGACGTGCCCGATTGAAAGCGGGAGTGGGTGGGCGGTTCAGTTCGGCGGCGCCTTGGAACAAGTGACACAAGAGACCCGTCCTCGGACCTGTCGCTGGAGAACAGAAGGACTGCCTCGAGATCTCCCCACCACATCATGTCACACACGGTTTAGCACCGCCAACACGATGTTCTCCTCTTCAGGGAGTGGGAAGAAGGCACCTCAGCAGGTCAGTCCAGCACAATTTCTTGTCCCCTCTTGTTTTGCGCTTTACTGACTGCCCCGCAGCAGGAGATGGTCCAGGTCGGTATGTCGTCCCCCCCCTCTCCCCAGAGTGACCATGACCAGACTTCTGAAACGAAACACCACTTGCTGACTTTGGTTTCTCGTCGCAACTGCAGATCGGTCAGAGTGCGCTCAACACTTATGCCAGCACTGCTGTGGACACTACTGACATCTGCTAGATCTGCGTCGCCCTTTTGGAACCCTCCGAAACGCGGTGATGCGTCCAAGAAACCCACTCGCGACCCCAACATGGTGGTCGGCGCGGCATATTCCCACGCCGATATGCTGAAGTTTGACTCGTTGTAGGTACTCTAGCATACCTCGCACCCTGCAGAACTGACCGGGGGGACCGGCAGAAATCTCTCTAGCTCGTCGTCGAGGCCGAAGACACCACCCTCGTCACAATCGGCCAAGGCCCGGACAAGCGATGTGTCTTCCTCTTCGCGACCGACTCCAGGGCTATCGTCGCCACCATTTAGGACCTATATGAACTTTCTCTCGAACACGAATGATGACTGGAAAGCGGATGAAGAAGATGAGATGATGGGTTACGACGACGATGACGGCGACGACTTTGGCCTACCCAGCCTATCTAATACAAAGAGGAGAGACGCGGAAGATGGCTGCCCAGAAGACGGATGGCAGCGCGCTCTCCTCTCTCCAGCTCTAGAGGAGTCATTTGGTGGAATCGACGGCAGGCGATTGTCAAACAGATGGCGACATCGCAATCGAGAGTCCTGCGCCAGCGTATCCCATGCCCAAGAAAAGCGAGGGCAAGTTCCTTCGGCCTCAGTACAAGGACATCCTCAAAGGTATCGTCGTGTTCCGAAAAGGATCATAATTGTAAACGTCTCTAACACCTCGCCCAGACCCCGCGAATGCCCTTCATCTGATCAACCACCCTCCAACTGCAGCCAATGCGACTCCAAAGGAAATCGATGCTGCCAACTCGCGGATCACCCGTATCAACAAGTTCAAAAAGATTCTTCAGGCGTCAACGATACCCATCGCAGAGCTTCGTCAGCTAGCTTGGTCGGGTGTTCCTGAGGAGGTTCGAGCCATGACATGGCAGCTCTTGCTCAGCTACCTCCCCGCAAATAGCGAGAGGCGGGTGGCAACTCTGGAGAGGAAGCGAAAAGAGTACTTGGACGGCGTGCGACAGGCTTTCGAGCGCGGTGGTGCCAACCCTTCTACGGCGGGTAAGGCGAGAGGACTTGATGAGGCGATCTGGCATCAGATCAGCATCGACGTACCTAGGACGAATCCGCATATTGAACTTTACAGCTACGAGGCGACACAGCGGTCGTTGGAAAGGATATTGTATTTGTGGGCCGTGCGACATCCCGCAAGCGGCTATGTGCAGGGCATCAACGACTTGGTCTCGCCATTCTGGCAGGTATTCCTGGGCATCTACATCGGGGATCCCAACGTTGAGAGCGGCATGGATCCAGGTCAACTACCAAAACCCGTGCTGGACGCGGTCGAAGCCGACTCGTTCTGGTGTCTCACAAAGCTCCTGGACGGTATCCAGGACCACTACATTGTGGCACAGCCTGGCATCCAAAGGCAAGTTGCGGCCTTGCGAGATTTGACTGCTCGTATCGACGGGAGCCTCGTGAAGCATCTCGAAAAGGAGAATGTCGAGTTCATCCAGTTTAGTTTTCGCTGGATGAACTGTCTTCTGATGCGAGAAATCAGTGTCAAGAACACTATTCGAATGTGGGACACATATCTGGTAAGGATGGCGTCCTCTCGCGTAATGCTTCGTGAAATGAACGGCTAACAGAGGCATGTCCAGGCTGAGGAACAGGGCTTCTCTGAGTTCCACCTCTATGTTTGTGCGGCATTCTTGGTCAAGTGGTCGGACAAGTTGGTCAAGATGGACTTCCAGGAGATTATGATGTTCCTCCAGAGCCTGCCCACCAAGTCGTGGACGGAGAAGGACATTGAACTGCTTCTGAGTGAGGCATTCATATGGCAGAGCCTTTTCAAGGGCTCCTCAGCCCACTTGCGAGGTCAGACGAGTCGAGCTCCTTCGACAAGTTTACAATTATAATACAGTATTGAGACGGTGATCCGCCTCGGTCGATGAACGTGTCTTTGTCTCTGCCTGCAGTGTTCCCTGTGGAGAGGCGAGGAGGGGCCTTGCGACTCCCTGCCTCTATGCGGTGACACAAACACCCAGAATCGTAGTCCCGCCATCATGAGTTCCCTGTTTGAACAAAGGGAGGATTGCCTCTTTGTGGATTCGCGGTTTGGTCGTCTGGTTGGCTGTCTGGCGCATTCTGGTGAGAAGTGGACTGTTCAAAGGAGTAAAGCCCCTCCCCTCCCTCCCCTCCACGCGAGGCCTTGATTAAGGATCAAGACCCATGTCCCCCTGCTGTTGCTGCGCTGGTTGACGTGCAGCAACGGGAGGGGACCTGACCGCCAATCAAACGCGTGCGCGTTGAGCTGAGCTTTAGAAGCTCTTCACCTAGCGCGTCATTCCACCGAGCCTGAAAGCCAATTGCGCTCGGATCTGCCCACCCTGCGACTGACCATCACCCTACACAAAACCAAACCTCCCACTTCGCATACCTTCCTTCCCTCCTTCATCAAGAAAGTACGAGTTTCTCTCCTCATCCACCTCCACCGCTATCGCATTTCGCAGAACACCACCCTCACGACCATCAATAACGTCATCATGGCCGATGCACCTGAGAAGCAGCAAGAGCAGCAGCCGCCTGTGCCTGCCGAGGAAGCTCCTCTGGTCCTGCCGCCAATCAACGAAGCAGTCGCTGCCATCATTGACGAGGCCAAGACGGGCGCGAGCACACCCTCGTCCATCGGCGCGCAGTCCGACCATGACATTCTTTCCAAGAAGGTCACCCTTGCCGACCTAACCGCCAAGGCGACGGCCATGTACGCGAGGAAGGAGTACGACGAGGCCGCCGAAGTCTTCGCCGCCGCCGCCGAACTACAGGCCGACATCAACGGCGAAGAGAACCAGCCCGACAATGCCGAGATTCTATTCCTCTACGGTCGCACACTCTTCAAGGTCGGCCAGACAAAGAGCGACGTGCTCGGTGGTCAGGCTGCCAGCAAGAAGGTTGAGAAGCCTCAGCCCAAGACCCCCAGAGCTCCCAAGGAGGCGCCGGCCGAGGCTGCAGCAGCAGAGGATGCCAAGACGACAGAGCAGAAGGTGACACAGGAGGGTCTTGCTGTCGTCGCTGAGCAGACTGATGGCGCGAAGAAGGCCGAGACGGTCGACAACAAGAAACCCCTGTTTCAATTTGAGGGTGACGAGAATTTTGAGGACTCGGACGATGAGGTAAGTCTTGCTCTGAGTAGTCGCGAAATCGCGTACTGATCCTGCGCAGGTCGCCGAGGGTGAAGGTGAGGAGGACGGCGAGGAAGAGGTGGATGATCTGCAGGCTGCGTTTGACATACTCGAAATGGCGCGCATTTCTCTTGAGAAGAAACTAGAGCAAGTGAAGCAACAAGAAAGCGAGGACCCGACCAAGGGCAAGGAGGTCTCTGAGGGCGATAGCGGCATCCTGAGACACGTCAAGGAGCGCCTCGCCGACACTCACGACCTTCTCGCCGAGATCTCGCTGGAGAACGAGAGGTACGTTGTCGATGCTTCACCGCGCTGTGACTTTTTCCCCCTGACTCCCAGCATAGGTTCCCCGCCGCGGTTCGCGACTCTCGCATCTCTCTGCAGTTTAAGAAGGAGCTGTACCCGCAAGAATCGGAGGTCATTGCCGAGGCTCACTTCAAGCTCTCTCTTGCACTAGAATTTGCCTCGGCCACTACGACTCAGGAAGACGGCGCTGCCGAAGGCGAGCAGGCGCCCTTTGATGAAAAGCTGAGGGAAGAGGCCATCACAGAGTTGGAGGCCGCTATTCAAAGCACCAAGTTGAAGCTTCAGGCAAAGGAGGTTGAGCTCGCTGAGATGGCGAACCCTGAAGAGAACGTGGCAACCAAGGCTCAGATCAGCGATGTTCGCGACATCATCGACGACATGGAGCAGCGCGTAGGTACTTTTCCTTGATTGTGCTTCAGCACTTATGCTGACACTCATGCTAGCTCACCGAGATGCGCAAGCCTCAAGTCGACTTCAAAGCTGCCCTTGAAGCAGCTGCCGGCACTGCCATCCAAGGTATCATGGGCTCAGCGTTGGGTGAGTCCGCGTCTGAGACGCAAGCTCGCGTCGAAGAGGCCAAGAAGAACGCTACCGACCTTACTGGCCTGGTCCGAAAGAAGAAGAAGGACGATGACGCTCAACCTGCTGAGCAGACGAATGTGCAGCGGATCTAATGGTACGAAGCGTAAGGCTGAGGAACCTGCCGAATCGGACGAGTCTGCCAAGAAGGCTAAGGTTGTGGAGGGAGGCAATTTGAGCTCGCTCACTGTCCGTCAACTTGGGCGGATTGAGGCTGACCTCTCTGTTCCATCTGTTCTCCCAAGAGGTGAGCACTGTATTTGTAATTTACTTTTTGGGAAAGCCAAGGTAGGCTGGGTCATGGTTGGGCTGTTGTGCAGTGCGCACACGAGACGGTGAACGCAGGTTGGTTATTTTTGTAAAGCGATTTCATGGGGGAAAAGGCTAGGTCCCGGGTCAAAATAGGCAACATGATTCTCGAACGTGAAGGCTTGTTGAATATTACGATTGTGCCCTGTCCATCTGGTGGTCTAAGTTACGGAATACCTCAAAGGTGAGCTCAGACGGCTAGACTGAAGCCTGTCTCAGCAGGGGTCAGTGGTCGTCTACGAGATCTCCCTACCTTGGTCTAGGATCTTTCAACAGCGCACTCTTTCGGGCATTTGTGCACGTGTTGGGAACGCCTGATACCCGTATTTGTTGGGGCTTTTGGCTTATGCGCAAATCAGGCCATTCCTTCCTTCGCATCCTTTTAATGGGTTCTTAAGTTGACATGGGTGGAAGCAGGACGTCCAACGGTTGTTTATTTCTGTCTACGGCATAGCAGTATCAAAGGCAAAATCGTTTCAGTTTGAGGGTTTGAGATAGGCCATCACTGGGACAGTGTTCTTTCTAAGGCTGATATGCGAGCTCGCCTGGCCGTCACATATACCGCCCAGATGATATGAAACGCCTAATAATGGGATTCGACCAGTTCAACCAACATTGCAGTTCGTTTGGTCGGTGAGTCACGCTGTTGCATGCTGTGCCTTGCAAGGGAAGTCACACGAATCGTTCTCTATGAAGGCCACATGGCTGGCGATGTAAGGTTGACTCGTCCTCCGCGAGGTCAGATGGCAGCTGTGGGATGAATCGATCAATCAGGGCGTAAAGTTGCGAAGGCCAATATACGAGACTTTCACTAGGTCACGGGCCTCTCCCGAACCTGGTGCTGGGTCGTCACACTCTTTCTGGCAGATCAAGGACTTGTATTGAGTTTTAACCCCTGACATCACCCCCCTTCCCCCCTGCCACTTCTCTTCTGGGCCACGAAGGGACGCAAAGCCTTCTCGGATCAGATATCAGCATCGCAATAGCCCTCCACGCCAAAACACCGGTCTCAAGAGATCGGCAAGCCATGCAGCAATAGCCCTACCATCTCTCCAGGGGAAGAACACCATTTCCCCGGTGTGCTCCCTGTCTTGCAGGATAGAACCCTCCTTTGTTGTTACCCTGGTCGAGTGCTCCCCAGTCATGGCAACGACCAGCCCAGACCTCTCTCACCTTCGTCTCTCTTGCGGGTGATCACGGCGCCCGCCCGCCTCCGATCACGTACCACACACCCTCTGTCCTTCTCGCCGGGAGGCGTCCAGGCGGAACGCTCCCACAGCCGCGGTGTGTGGTGGGGATGACGTGGCTGCTAGGGGGCAGGGCGACATGTTGCACGCAGGGTGGTCGCATGGTACACAACCGGGCGTCGGAAAATATCCCGTTTGCTGGATAGGGGCGGCTTCTAGCTCTAGACATGTGTTACCATAGTTTGTTTGGATATGATGGGTGTGCTGGATTCGGGCCGCCTCGCGTGTACCATGTATGTGTGTTTGCCCTGCTTCCGCGGAATTGTTGACTTTTGACACTGAGTAATTCGGTCCTGAAGTCTTTTAGAATATCCCAGACGTCGCTCGTGGCTTTCTTTGTCGTGCTACGCTGACCAAGGGGGGGGGGGGGGTTGAGGGGCAGCTCGCGTGTGAGGTTGCGTTCGGGTGACGGCAGCATGGGCTAGGTAGCTTGCAGGGTGTAATTTGCGATACAACTATAGACAAGCTTTCTCGGGATAATACATCCTATACGTAGCATCGTCAGTGTTATTTAAAAATACTGGGTATACAGTTTGGGATGGAAAGAAGCGAGGAGTGCTGTTCCATTATCCATACTAATTGAGCTGCAAGACTTTGGATGGGCGACGACGGGTCGCATGGCACGGCATAAGCACAGCGGCCATGTGTTGTATCTGAGGAGACTGAACTGTCACATTCGCTATGGAAAAGTGAAGTAAGAGTAGTGTGTAATACGACGTTGTTGATGCTAATGATGAGAAGTGCCTGATTTGTGTACACTTGCACAGATACAAGGGCCATGACTAAAAATGCTGCGCGCTTCGACACCATCTCCTGGGAAATGGTCAATCTCAAGCGTTCTCGATCCACGGCGCCAAAAGCTTCGCTGTTACGTGCTTGAAATTTCGTCGCGCCTCGCTGTTCCGGCATCGAACAGCCTCGATTTCTGGAGAGGTTAAGACATCTCCAAATTATCAACCATGAAGTTCTGTGCCTTGCTATGGAGTTCAAGGCTGCACACATATGGGCATGTTTACCTCAGAAAGTTTTGATCTACAACATATACACCTGCGCATCCAGGTGCATGTGTCTTTTCGGCGAAAGACATACGGAAGTGACACGATACATAACTCAGCCCTTGCCGTCACGAATGAAGTTATCCGCACACCATCGCATAGCCACGACTCATTCAAGGCTTGACTCACGTTGAGATGTCAGTGATAAAGTTACTTACTGAACAATCAAAATGATGATTGTAATGGCCCCGGATACCACTCCCCCCCTGGTCACACAATTCTGAGACGAGACCCAGCAATCGGCCAGGTCGGGGTCAACGTGCCGGAGTCGTGTTGATCTTTCACTATGTGACGCTCGCCTCTTGGTCCAATCGTAGAGCTCTGAATGCTTGTCAAAAGGCCTGTCTCGGAGCATTCTACTCGTACCTTTTGTCGACCACAGCAGGGAGTCGACCAGCAGCGGTATTGGGGACATTTACCAAGAGCCCACCCCCTCCTACTATAGTTAGGGCTGGAACCATGGAATCGTACCATTTCCTGGTGGCATCTACTACCAGTCGCGGGCTATGGGGCTGGCAGGATCTTCAGAGGGGAGTGGACAAGCCCTGCCTCCTCCTGTCCTCTTGGCGGGAGGACTAGCATCCCGATTGCTGGGTAGGGGACAATCCCCACCAAGCACCGAGAATGCGAATGCTGTCTGGCAGTCCGCCACTGTATGGTGACTCTGGACTTGTAGCTAGTCACTCTGGACCACGTCATCAGAATGACCGAATGAGAGGCGGCTCATTCAGCAGTGTGGCAGATTATGCATGACACGCTCTGAGGTCAGCATGCACTCGAACGTACTTCGACAAACAGCCTTAGAATGTAGAGGGACATGGCAGCATCATCTACCAGCCTCGACGAGTTGTTGGTATTTCGCCACTGGCGCCATGATTTAGCTCACTGAGTTTCTTTGCGCAAGCCTGCACACGTGATGGTAGGCTGCTTTGGCCAGATACGCAGGCTGGGGGACCCTCAGCCATGGGCTTATAGCGCCATCCCCCCGCGCTCCTGGAAAAAGACGGTGTGAGTGGAACGAAGCCCCTCCTCGGACTGCGCCGTGGCTTCGAAACACAGATACCGGAGGAGGCGGTATTACAGTGGAATGGAGGCTGCAGGCGGATCGGGGCGAGCTGACTTCGTAGATTGGTATGACAGCATGGTATTGCCTGCATCGCAGGGGACTCTTGACCGTCAACGGCTCAAGTGGTAGAGCGGTCGGCCATCGGAAAAAAAGACACGATGATAGACGAAGGGTCGAGGGACTAGTCACTAGCTGAATTCTTAGTGTGGCTGAGGACAAGAGGCGAACGCATGTTTGGCACGAGGCGCTCCCGACCTTTTCTAAGTGTCAGCGGACTGCAAGGTTGGTCAACTCGACGGACAGAGAGGCTGGGAAGACGGGACGGAATCAATACGAACGAGCGGGCTGCACAGGGCCTGGCCGAGTGGCAGCAGACGCTGTGAATAGATCCATCTGGTCGGGCTCAAGGGCGAAGAAGGTCTGAGCTGCCTACACGTACAACGTACGGGGATCGTGGTACATTGTGATGGCACCCGTGGTCTTGCCTGTGGCCGTGGGCTTGGCCTCTCAGTGGTCGGACAAGTCGTCCCAATGGGGTGAGCTGCAGCACCAGGGGTAGATTGGATGAAACCAATGCAGAAACCAATGCAAATCATGAGTGCTGGGGAGAGGGGGAGGGGGGCTCACTTTAGCAGAGCCGGCAAGGCATTCATTCGTCACGGAATCCCTGGCCTCGGCGATGAGAGTCGGGGCTGGTTCGCTTCGGGTCGAGGCGATCACCACAGGGATCGTTCCAAGGCCCTGTGTCGAGCCAAGTCAGGGGTTGATTCTGTTGCTGAGATGTTCAGTCGTCTGTAGTGGTGTTGTGCTGTATTCCCATGTCGCAGGTCTGGGCGAGAACAAAGAATGGGTGCCGAAGTCGCCATGCTGCCTGTGGAGCTGCTCGAAATGGTGAGCTAACAGGCAGACAGGCTGGCTGGCTGGACAGGTGATGGAAGGAGATTGAGTTCAGCCAGCGTCGCCATCCGACTTGGCTGGTGTCGAAAAGCTAGGAATCCTGATGACCTCAGTAAGATATTTCATTTGATCATCGGAGTATCCGGACAAGGACCTGAAAGATTGAGGAATTGTTGGAGAAGGCGACGTGCCTAGATCGTCTTCTGGATGTTTGGATGGCACTCGCAGTGGGAACGGAGCCACAAGCAATGCGGAAGGCACATGTCCTCCTTTGTTCAGGCAGGCACGACTGATGCAGGTACATCCTGCCCCCCATGTGTCTCTCCCTGGGAAGTGTCTATTCTTTCTTATTGCCGCTGCAGTGTCGTCTCGTCCATTCTGTTCATCCCACGTCTTTCACTCCCCGGACCTTCCCACTACGACCTGTCTGTCGTGTCGCCTCAGTCCATCCATACCTACCAACATGGCATCCACCGCCGCAAGATCTCTGCCAGGGCTGCTTGTGACGGACCTGACGGGTCCCAACGCATGAATATTCCATGCAACCGCACCAGTGGATGACACGGTCATCGTCGCGGTCTCCCGCCCGGGCCCGATTGACCCCCAGTGACAAGGACATGGATAAGGACAAGGACATGGACAAAAACAAGAACAAGAGCGAGGGCCCAGGCCTAAGACATTGTGTCCAAGACATCCAGGCACATTCAGGACCATCCTCCTTGGCATTTCAACATCTTTTAACCTTGCTTGGACTTGGCCTCGTTACCTCGTCCCTCCACGACTTCAGCTGAAACACCACCGGCCTCTTGGGGCGCGAATCCACGCACTGCTTCTTACCCTATACGGACTAGTTACTACTATCTTGAGCCCGTCCCATGGCCGGTCCCTTACGGCCCATGTTAGAATGGAAATATGGCACGGTCTGGGGGCTGGGCCAAGCGCCACACACGACCTCAATGATATCCCTCGACGGTGAGGGAGCGTTCTCGTTGCGCTCCACCGCTCAAATGTCCATCAGGTTGCTTGGTATTCTGTGGGAATTCCCATCATTAGCGGCCTCCTGTGGCTGCGTCCCGAGACCTTACCACAACTTTCGATCGATGACCGGCCAGTACCCACTGACGACCTAGACTGACTCTGTGGCTCATCATCAGACCCAATGCGCGAGTCGAGATTCGAGACCGCCTGGACTGGACGAGCAATACCCGGCCCTCGCTGACCTGGCTGACCAAGCTCCATGCAGCAAACCTTCGCATGCCAGACCAAAAGGCTTTATGACCTGACCGCGCAACCCATGGACGCACGATGAGCGACGGTCGGTCCAACCTGGACCGGGGGTCTCCCGTTGAGCCACTCGCGCTCCTTGTTAGAAATCCCTCTAAGCCGTAAACTCTTCAGGCGCAGTATACCTGCCATGCATGCACGACAACATCTCAGCATGCTTCATGAAACATGGAGCAACCCTTCTCGCGAGCCAATCGCGAGGTCCGACGAACAAATACCGTTATTCCATGTGTATGTCTGGTGTGGCAGTCCAGGTTCCTGCAGCTGTCGCCTCCTGTCATCGAGCTGCCATTGACCATGTTGCGTCTCTCCCCTGCCTGGCCTGTTTTAAGCCTTCGCCGGCACAGCACAAGACCGGCGCGGCGTGCGACATCAGTTCGAGGGGCCCGTTCTTAGGGCGGGATATTCAATCTGCCACACCTATCGCGTTGTCATCCTCTACCCTGCTCACTGCTTGTCCTGGGTTCCAACATGTTACGTGGGCCTGTTTGCCGTTTCTTCCTTGTCAAAAGGTGGCACAGCACCTCGAGGCACCACTAGTTGACATGCTTCTGGTAAGGGTTCGCGGGATATACTCAATGGCTGCTGAATTGGCTCAGATATTGATGATCTACACGTTAGGGTGCCATTTCGGGCTTCATGCATCCCCTCCAGCAATCCGACATGCAGCGTCATGTTTCGACAATTTGACCGTCCAGGCACCCTCAGCACTACTCACCCCACATCCAACACCGACCTCGTAGTATGGGTGCATTTGCCGTTTAACCTAGTCTGACCTTGTTGACAGGTCAGGCTTGATTTGCCTCTCATAACGTCTCCGTCTACCACCTGAACACGATCTTGATGTGCGTCTTTCTGGGCGTGGAAGGGGGAAGGTCGCATCATTCTGTACTAGAACTATGGATCGTCCCAGTCAATTGTTTCTCAAGCCACAGGGGTGGGGTTGCGCGAACCCTGGCCTTGTCGCCGGCATCGTCACTCTCGTCCCACCCCAAATCTGCACAGCACGACAGCCAGTCCAAGGTTGAGTTTGGGTTCGGCAGAGATCATGTACCCCTAGACCATTTGACATCGGACACAACAACGTCTCGGGAGTCTTCGCTTCTCCATGCACCCTCTGGTTTTTGTTTGTTAACAGATTACTGCACATCTATATCAAATAGGTTCAGAGGTGCCGCACTGGCTACCCATGGGGATGGCTCGGTGAGATAACCTCTTGGATGTTCCCAGAGGACATAGGTCCACATTAGCAAGACAGAGACCCGCGCTGTTGGAAAAAGTGCGCATGTGCAGAACACGTTGGATGCCGGTAGCACACGGAACGGAAGCTCCAAGCAGCCGCAACAGCATCGCTGGTGCCCACGCGGCCTTGGCATCCACCCATGGTTGCTGTACAGGGCCATGATCGGTCGAATTATTTTTGCTGCATCAACCACGGTCGTAGACCAGGCCCTGACGCACCCAGGCGATCTGCCGTTGAGAACGAACTGTCCGGCATATGCTTCGGAACCATCCGACCGGCGGGCTACCTGCGCGGTGTTCGCATTTGTGAGCGAGAGGCGCTGCTCATCACCCCTTGATAATTCAGCGACGCCTAGCTGCGGTCTGATCCCGATTCAGCGTTGTCGCGCCCCATTCTGTCTTGACTGCTTTTGGAGTGCACATCCGTGCACCACCCCAACTGACAAAGCTGTCGAGCGACCCTCAGCTCATTTCGAGTTACAGGTCGAGACCGCGACACTACGTCTGCTTAGCTCGCAAGCTACCAGAGGCAACTTGATCCAGGAGAGCACGCGATGCGGCGGCGGCAGGCACAGTAACTAGTATAGCCCAAGACATGCCACCTCGAGGCAAGACAAGAGAGAAAGGCAAGGAGCTCCATTGCCCCCCCCCCTTGACCAGATGCGCAGCGGGCTGCTGTTGTTATGATTGGCCCTGCCCGAAGGCTGCAGCACTTGGAAACCTAAGCCCTGCCCGGGGCATTCCCCCTGCGGAGAATCGGGGGGTTCAGACGCCATCTAACGCCATGATCTGCGACGGTCCCAACCTGATGCACAGGGGATGCTTCTTAAGGCGACCGGCAATCAGCAAGCGCCTCAGAAAACCTTGGGCTCCGAACCTAGGAACTGGAACTGGGGCTCCCTTCCACCTTCCTTGCTTGGCCCCATCCAACCCCCCTCTCAACCCCCAACATCATTGAAGAAAGGCTCCCCTTTCTGTTCAAACCTTGCTCAGGCCTGGGATGGGCCCCTGGCCCTTGCTTCAAACCCGGGGGAGGGCCCCTTCTCCCCAGAACAAGAGCGCGCATTCGGGGGCTTCACCCCCTCTGGGCCCAGCCGGCGCCCAAGCCGGACTGTGGGGAAGACTAAACATCCACAACCCCTGCCTACAACGCATGATACCCAGCATCCCTCGCGATGCCACAAGTGGAAACTCTGATCAGATACTGGGCTAAAAGATGTGGCTTGCACAGTGATCATGCTGGCTACCGTTGGGAGCCTCTCCACCCCCTCCCCTCCCGCCACCCGCCTTGCTCCGATCCAGTACCTGCGACCGCAGCAGGTACTGGTTGTCGCTGTGGCTCTGACTCTGCTTTTGCTCGAACTTGGGGCTAATTCTGGTGGATGGACGGACCATGAAGCTTGGGACCGAGCCATGACAAGGCCTTCTTCCCAGATCCTGGTACCCTCAAAGCCCAGACGCCCACCCTTCCAAACTCCAAACAAGTATCGTCTTCAGTTCTTACCATCACTTCATGCGTGCTCAGCACAGCCTTACTCTTCTCTCTGAGCTGCTGTCTCTGTATCCCCGACATTGTCTGTCCTTGGCCGATCATCCTATCTTTGTTTCCCTGTTCTCATGTACCTCTTGAAGCTTACCATTTGTTGCCGTTGGACGCCGCTCTTGCCCTCTTGGAAGCTTCAAGACCTTTGCGAGGTCTGCGCCTGCAAAAGTTCCTAGTACAAGTACATGACGCACCTTTCTCCAGACGTTGGAACCATCCCGTTGTGGTCACTTCTTCATCTCTTTGAGAGCTCTTGACTCGAGCGCACATCCAGACCGCGCGCAACGACCGTCGAACGAAACAGCAAAACCAGCCCAAAATCTCAGCATTCGCCCGTGGCAGCCCGCTCACGTTCGACCATACCCTCAGCTGAGCTTGAGCTTGACCCACGGAACGAGCTACTACTCGGTTCTGTTGTTTCCCTCGGTGCTTTGCGGATCCGATCATTGCAAACAACACACGGGCGTCAGAGCCAGACCACGCTCGTAGCTTCAGACGACTCTTCAGCGCCAATTTTGGCCGGCTCACTGGTGTTTCGGCTGTTTCAATCCGTATTGCGGGCTGTCAGTGCGACCTCGATCTCCAAACGACTGGTCCCAACGATTGGACTAATAACCTTATCATCACCTTCTCTGCGTTCCTTCTAGTCTCCGGTTTTTGTTCCTCTGGTCAACTACCCTCCTCTGCCACCTGCATCCTTCCCAAGTCATCTACATACTCGTCACACACCCCAGAGCCCCAAGACAGCACATTGATAGCACGTAACCGCCTCCTGAAGACAAACCCAATAACCAACAACGCCACCGGTCAGAACGCATCGCGACTCGCTGCTGCAATCACACCGAGGCACTCTTTCCATCAATGATCCCCTGAGCTCTTCTCAAGCAAGAGTTGGTGCACCTGTCACGGCGGATAGCAACTTTGCCGCCGCACACCGGACCACATACGGCCCATCATTGCTGCTCATCACCAACCGTTTTCTCAAGCTGAGCGATGGACGTTACGTCTCTCCTCAACCTGGCTGCAGCAAGACACCCCATCACCCGTACGCTTTCTTTGGAATCTACTTCGACTATTTCTACAACCGACGGATCGTCAGCGGCGCCCACTGCCGTGCAAACGCCCTCCCCTGAGAAGACCACCTCTTCCAGGCGGACCAGCGACAACCACTTGTCTCGTCTGCGCACGCCATGGGATGCGGGCGGCTACTCTCTACCACTGACACTCGACACCAAGAAACTCTCTGTTCTCTCCAGAAAGCCTAGCATCTACAGCGTCTCTCCCACTGACCAGTCTGCGCCTCAAAACTTGTTGTACGACACCGCCTCGGTCAATCATCATTCAAGGGCCAGCTCCCTGAGCTCTCTCGGGTTCGACATGGCACATTCGGTCAACGTGACTCCAATGACGAGCACTCACCCTGGGCGGTACGCTATTTCCTCTTCTTCCTTGCCTCAATTTGGTACAGGTAGCCTTCGTGGAGATAACATGATTCGGGATATTCGACCGTTCACTGACACTCCTGCCGTATATGTAGGCAACCCAGTGTGAGTGAAGCCGAATCGCAACTTACAGCGAGGTTAGTCTCCCGCTCGCCCCGAAACCAGCCGTGACAAAATAGACCGTGTGACTGACTATCGTCAAAGACCCAGATTCTCGCGCGACGACAGCATACAAAGCGGAATGGGACTGCCCAACTCGCCGAGACATAAGTTTTCGGACAGTCACAGCAGCCTCTCTTCGTACACGTCTTCAACGATGCATTCTGGGTGCCACTCCAGGATCTCATCCATGTCAACTGTCAGCGGCGGCGTGCAGCCCTTCACCCTCGTTGCTGAACGATATGCCTTCGTTCGAGACAAGCTAGGCGACACCAGCAAACCGGACTCTGTGCTCGCATCGCTGGAGCTCCGATCCCAGTCCCCGAGAACTGCAACGTCACCTTCGGCGCTGGAAGAGGGGGCGGACAAAGATCCCAGAAGCCCATCCAGCCCATCCGACGCTATTCTGATCACTCGAGGAACAGGAAGCAGCCGGTCAAGCCCGACCGAAGACTTTAGGTATGTGTCATTTGTTTCTCTTTCGTCTTTGCTGTTCATAGGCCTTTCTGCATGCTTTGAGTCGAAGTCGATAAGGTCAGAAGAACGTCAGGTTCACGCCAGCCGTTACCGTTACCATGACGATTTCCTATTTCGCCAACATTTGACGGGTAAGCCTTAAAAGGGAGGAACCCAACACGGAAGGCACTCTTGACGTTCGCACACGTCAACCATATTCACCTGGTCTGCCGTTCACCCGCCGACCTCTTTTCTCTCAAGTTGAGAACACCAGTTGAAAACGTCGGAGATAGCACCCGCGGCCACAGATGCGGTCTACTTCTTTTGACTGCTCTCAACCGACGATATCAGCGACATTTTGATCAGATCCAAGGCCCCCTTCAAATACGCAACGTTGCCCGCGGATACCAGCGCTCCTGCCTCTGCAACACCAAGCAGGACCGCGTTGTTTCCTCCAGTATCACAGCCGAATCCGCCACAAGGGTTCGGAGGTGCAATCACGGGCGACGTCCTGCACAAAACGGAAACCACATGATCTATTGTCTCCCATTCATCAAGCCCCACGCCGCGAACCTGCCCCTTTCAGGACTTCACTTCGTGATTCAGCGTCCAAGCTCCCCATTCATAGATGGAGAGCATCTGGTTTAGAACGTCGCGAGCAATGCTACTTAGACTGCTGCGGTAACACATTTCACTAACAAACCTCTCACCCCAGCCCACAACACATCACCAAACAAGATACAACCGGGTTCCTGAACCCTCCTCAAGATCAGCTACATACCCGATCACATAAGCGCACCGTCTCAGCCCCTGACTTTGCCGCCCTTTCAGCACCGTCTGGGTTTCAACCTTTCCCACCTGTCTCTGAAGCTCCGGCTTTCGTGCAACAGCAACAAGTCTACACAATGCCTTCTCAGACCCAACCCGCCGCAGGCAACCCAGCCGTGATTCCAGAGATCAAGTGCATGTACATCGATAATTGTGACACAGGTTCGCAGCCTCGCAAGGCCATTTCTCACATCTTTGGCCGAAACAAGCTCTGCACGCGCATGATTCCTCCTCACGTCTGGGTTCACTATTGCCGAAAGCATTATCAGCGCAGCCGCTATCGCAACGGTCATGAGTACGCCAAGCTCCAGATCGATCTTGTCGAGCAGCAGATCGAGCGTGTTCAAGAGTGGAGTGACGCCAACAAGCGAGCCGGTACCTCTGGGGTAGTCACCAGCTGGTCTCTTGCCATTCGCAAGCGAGAGCAGAAGCGTCTTGACGACAAGCAAGAGTCGAGGAAGCGATCGTATCAGGACGAGTCTGAAGATGAGACTGCCGATGGCGCCGTGATGAATGGCACTGCCGTACCGCAGTGGCTACTCGACCGTTGTGGTAACAACTACAGTACTGAGACCATCATGAGTGTCGTTCAACAACTCAAGTCGGAGATCCATGGCAACCACTTGAGTCAAATCCCGGATATCGAGATCCTACCTGCCATCAGCAGCGATGGCAACGAGGACAAGCCCAAGGCTCAACTCAAGCGCAAGACAAGTGGCGGTACTGGACACAAACGATCCCAATCCATGGGTGTGGCTCTTCGTCACGATATTCATCCTCCTCCCGCCATGACCCGGCGCATCAGCCAGCCACTCGGTCATTGGGAGGCGGACATGTTTGAGAACCCTGTCGAGAAACGGCAGCGACTTGCGCAGATGGACGTCGGTTACTTTGCCGAACGTCACAACATGGTGGGTGTTCCTCGCGCTGCTGAGCGCACCGTGCCCAACGTGCGTCGCATGCAGGTAGCTCATCGACCGGCCTTTGGCAACATTCGTGAAAACTACCCCGAGGAGGAATATTACACAGCTGGGCAGCAGGCCTTTGGATCTCCGTACATGTATGGCGCTGGTGGCCAGGTCGTTACCACGTCAGGGGGGGCCGCTGGTGGTCCTCTTCCCGCGCCCACCCCTCAACGGCGACCCAGCCAGTCGATGGCTTCACACCTCGAGGCCAACAGCTCGATGGCCGGCTACCAAGATCCGCGCCGCCCTATTCACCAGCGCTCTCACAGCGAAGTTGGTGCGTTCTACACCGGCTCGTCCAATGCCTATCGTCCAGCTTCTTCCTCGGAGTACCCAGCTCCAGGCTACGGCTACGGTCCCGGTCCGGATTATGACGCCTCGTACAACCAGGCATTTTCTCGTCGTGAGGAAGACGACATGTTCATCGCCGGACAGCCTGTCAGCCAAGGGATGGGTCAGCCGCCGGCGGGCAATTACTACCAGGACGCCACTGTTCATCGCCAGTATGGCTATGACACCTCGCCTTACCAGTCGGGCATGAACGCCACCGTACGCATGGCAGCGCCGCCCGCCACTAAGCATGGCCGTCACCAGAGCAGCCCCAATGTTGTGCGTGGCATGCAGCAGCATCGTGGTGCCCCGAGCCACGCGTATGCACCTCTGCCAAACATGCCTACGCGCTTCGAGCAGCCCTACGAGCAGCAACACATGGACCAGTCGAGGGTCTCCTACGGCGCGCCCGCAGTCCATCGGCGCCCAACCATGGAGGACGAGTCGACAAGAGATGCTTACGGTGTTCGTCAGTAGCCTCCGTGTTCTTGACAACGTCCCCCTAGCGTCAGTTCGCGGTGTGCAAACAAGGGAAAGGAACCCTAAGAGGAAGCATTGGGGCGCAACATGGGAGTGAGCACGCCCTGGTATCGGCGTGATTCAATGGAGGTGACTTCAGCATGAGCTGCACGCCAACTCCAGGGCTTAGTATTTTCTACTCACTGGTAACGCGCGTGGAATGCGGTAGGGTGTGGAGTGGCTCCTCATGACGATGAACGATAACAGGCATGGCACTAGCGAAAGGGTCGGCGGTTGGGGCCACACAGGACTCAAGCCCTTCAGTCTTTTTATTTGTTGTTTTCTTTTTAATTTGCGTTTGTAAGTTCCGTTCAGGCAACCGGAGTTAGACCCAAGGTGGACGGCGGGCCGGACATGGATCGGGAGGGCGGAGGGGCGTTGGGTAGGATCACGGGCGACCAGGCGAGTGGAGGAGATACAGAGAAACGAAGTTGACCGAGGTGACGCAAGAAAAGCCAGGCCTTGCACACCGAGGGGTTCATTCAAACTGTTTCTCTGGTTGCGCATTGCGATTATTTCGGTATTCGTTGCGGCCTCGGTCGTCCTTTTCTCTGTATGTCGGTTATGCTAGCACAAAAGGTTTCGCCAGCCCCCACCTCGCTCTCACTCTCGCATCGCCGAGACGAGAGAAGACGGATTTATCTACAATATGCTTTTCCATTCGCCCTGCCGTGTGCTCTGCCGCGTTGACCGTGATGCCTGTCTGTCCTACTACGACGAGTCCCTGATCACGACGATTCCCTGATCATGACGGCGCCGCCCGTCCAGTCGGCGAGTCTGCCCTCGTTGGCCCTGTCAATCTCCCGGAAGCCAAAGCGGTCGTAAAAGGGCTCGACGCCCTCAAGCCCGATGAGCCAACAGGCCGCCCCCTCCGGGTCGACAACGCGGCTCAGCGCATCCCGCACAAGCCAGCTGCCGGCACCCTGGCCCTGGACGGCCGGGTCCACGGCCAGCGTCGACAGGTACCAGGCGTCCCGCCGCCTCGGGGGCCGCGGATCGGCCGCGACGAGACGCGCCTCGACGCGGTGGTGCATGGCGGCAAAGGCGTCGCGTCCACGACGCTGACGGAGCGGCAGGGCCAGAAGAGCCAGCGGCGACGGGGCGTTGGGCGGGGCGGGGGCGCGCCAGAAGCCAAGCGCGCGAGGCCCTCGTGGGCGGCGCGGGCGG